ACATATATATACACATATACATACATATATACATACATATATATACATACATACATACATACATACATATATAAATAAATAGTGTTGACGCCAAGTGAGTTTGTTTTACGTACCTTAATGAGCCAGATGTCGTCGGCTCCTCTCCTCTCCATGAATCTGTTAAAATGATGTTAATGTTCACATGTTATTAACAATCAGCTGTTCAGTAATAACTACGTTATAAACTCCACATGTTCAAACTAAATATTGTTGCCTCTTTAAAACACCGGATGATGATATTAGATAGATAGATAGATCTATCTATAATGTTTTCTGCTTCACTTGTAAAATAAGTTTTATTTTAATTTCCTGGTGAAATAAAGATTATATATTCTATAAATATTGACATTAGAGGATTAAACCGTGATTAGTTCTAACTCTAAACAAACCTTCTGTTTCTTTGATAAAGTTAACTCAAGCTTGTTCTAGGAAGCTTTTATTGTGAAACTCTCTGACACTGAAACAGGAAGCTAAATCTCAGCTTCCTGTTCCTTTGACCAATGAGTTCTGGTTTCTTCTCTTCTTAGTAATGGAATAAAACTTTGTACTCACGAATCATCGAGCTCCTCCACGAAGGCCGACGCTGACAGAGCCAGCAGCACTGCAAACAAACAAACAAACAGTAAACGGTAAACAACACATTTAGAGTCATCTCTTTCTGTTGACACCAAATAGAGCTGTGATTGGTTGATTGATCTCAGCTAACTGTTCTGTTCATATCTGATTAAATGTGATGAGAGACAGGAAGCTGCTCACTGGACTGTCAGAATAAAGGTCCTGTTGAAGCAACAGGAAGCTGCTCACTGGACTTTCAGAATAAAGGACCTGTTGAAGCCACAGGAAGCTGCTCACTAGACTTTCAGAATAAAGGACCTGTTAAAGCAACAGCATCAACATAACCTGAAAGTAATCCATTCAGAAGTCCCATAATGCATCTGGTGGTTCTGTGAAATGAACTCACTGGAGGTCTTCAGGTTTAAACACATCTGATTCATTTCTCTGCAGCTCTGAGATTAAATCATCCTTCAGTCTGAGACTTTAAATCTCCTTAAACCTCGTTAACCTGCACTTCCTGGTTCCTCTGAGCTTGTGGGAGGAGCCTGTGAGGGTTTTTAGATTCAGTGTAAATATGAGTGTAGTTTGGTGGAGGACGTACCTGAGAGCAGGACCGTGTTCCTTCTGTTCCACATGTCGACTGATGGAGAAACTGCAGCACAAAGAGATTAACAGCACACAGCTAATCTGCTGACAGAGTGCTAATCTGAGGGATTAACAGGTTACAATCAATCCACTGAAGCTTTATTGATATCAGCAACAACACACAGTACTACTACTGAGGATGTTAGAGAGACAACCGTCACGGCCAGGCCGTGCCTCCTGCTTGTCCTGTGTGTGTGTGTGTGTGTTTGTATCATATGGGCAGGGCTCCGACCTGGGCTCCTCCCGGCTTCCTAATTACAACTCACCTCACCTGGCCAGTCAAACCAGCTGCACTCCATCAACTCATCAACCCAACAGTATATCTACCCCGGTTCCTCATCTACTCTTCGCCAGATCGTTGTTTACAGCTCACGTGGTAGCTAGTAGTTCATGGCTGCTCTGTTTGAAGATAATTCAGAGTTTTCTCTCAAGTGGTTTTTCAGTGCTTTAACCCTGTCTCTCTGTTCCTGCAGTTTTTTTCATCCTCCTGGTTCCCCAGTCTGCCTGCCCTGCCCTACCTCCTCCTGCCTGGATTCCACCCTCACCCTCCCTGGATTTTCTCGCGGTGCTTTGGTCATCTCCCCCCCCCCCCCCCCTTGGTTTCCTGTCAATAAACCTTTCACCTATAATCCCTGGTCTGTGCCTACATTTGGGTCCACACACACCCCGTGACAACAGGAAGTCTGCACAATAGTTTATATTGTTATATCTTAATGTTTCTGATCCAAGAAGACTGACAGGTATGAAGAAGGAAACGAGGAGGTAAGGAACGAAAAGGGGAGGAAAGGAAGGTAAAACAGGAAATGAGGAGAGGAAGGAAATTAAATATAAAAAGGAAATGAAGGATGAAAGGAAGGAAAGAGGAAGTGAGAAAGGAAACAAGGGGGTAGGAGAGGAGGTGAACAGACGGTACAAAGAGAACACTGATCAATACAGTCTGAGTCACATGTCAACAAAGCAGCTCAAGTTAAGAGTATATATATATATATATATATATAAGTGCTGGGCAACGATTAAAATATTTAATCGCATGGATTTTTTGCGATTAATCGCATTGTTATGACAAAGTTCAATAATGAATTCAAAAGTAGTGTATTGTGCACTTTTATTTTGAAAGTACTGCTATATGAACAAAAGGTCAATAACATTTGGTTTGTAAACACTTTAAACAAATAAGGTTCTTGTTAACAGCAGTATTCTCTTTACACAGCAGCGGCTATAACAGTTATGATTCTGATCATAGATATTCAGCCAGTGTTCACAACTTTATCTTCATGTGTGTAAGAGATATTTAAATATACACTTTGAAAACTGAAACATATCTACGTCATGTTTTTATGTTTGTTAAATTCTCAGTAGTGATACTAAATGATGCTTATTATACATATTACAAACAAAACACTTTAAAAACTCGACAATATGTATTTTAATATTGTCACTGTTGTAAATTGTTTGATTGCATGATTTACTTTTATTGTGAAGAGCATGAAAACGGAAGCGCTTTTACTTTGAAGAGACAGGAAGTAGAATGGTACATGTTCTTGACGCTAACAATATTGATAAGTAGAAAACCACATGTCGGGTGCAAGAGGGCGTTGTGTTCACTGTAACACTGCAGTTCAGACAGTAAAGTGTTCCGTTCAAACAAGACGTGTCTTGTTCCTCACGAGAAGCTCCACTTCACAACAGTCACGTTTGATCTGTAACGAGACGATCGTGTGTGTGTGTGTGTGTGAGATAAGAGTGAAGGACGGTGACGGAGTGTAGGAGGGGTTCTGGACCCGGGGGGGAGAATGAAGTGACGCCACAAGAACACAGCTGTTCACTGCTTGCTGCCTGGTTCTTGTGTTAAAAATGTCTTTATTTTATTATTATTATTTATTTATGTAAAAATAAATAAATAAAAAACTGCGTTAACGCGCGATAATATAATTGTCGGCGTTAATTAATGAATGCGTTAACGCGATAACGTGTTAACTTGCCCAGCACTAGTATATATATGTATCAAAACCTTTGATCAGTAACAAAACAATCTGAGGACTTCCTCCTGGAAATAAGACAGCTTGGTCTTTTTTTCTTTAATTGAGTCCTGTTGGCGTGTGAAGGGGGCAGAGCCATGCAGCCCCATCAGGAGAGTCAGTGTCATGTCCTGAGACACCGTCAGCCGGCGGTCCACTCTGCAGGCTGAGAAGGGCGGCGTTGGCCTCGGCGATGGGGTTGGCGGTGACGTTGGGGGTAACGTTGGGGTCGGTGTTGGCGGTGACGTTGGGGTTGGTGTTGACGTTGGGGTTGGTGTCAGTGTTGGTGTTGAGGTCGGTATTGGCTTTGGCGTTGGTGTCGGCTTTTGCGTTAATGGTGATGTCGGCGTCTGCGGTGACATCTGTGGACACCTGTCTGGTGATGAATGTCGTTGACCCGGCGGTGGATCCATCGGTTTCGCTCTCCATCCAGCAGGACTCACTGTCAGACGCCGAGGACAGCCGGCTCTTCCCCCGGCAGACGCCGGCACCAAGCCAAATGCCCGGCGAGCTCAGACTGCCGAGCGTTGCTCGACGAGATGAAGCGTCACCGGAGCTGAAGGACGAGCGCAGGTCCTTCTGCAGCCACAGCCGCAGCAGAGGACGCAGCAGCAGGACACAGCGGCCGATGGCGGCGCAGTACTTTGAGTGCGTGACGCGTCGATGATCGGGTTGTGGGTGGCAGAGGCCTTAGCGATGACGGCAGGAACGGAGTTCATGTAGGGCGTCAGCAGGTGGGCGTAGCCGGCTGTGGCAGTCAGAACGACCGCGGAGTACAGCGACCAGGAGATGACGAACAGCAGGATCACTTCCAGAGCCACTTTAGCCATCGGCCACTCGCTGCGCAGACGCCGGTACGCCTTGTTAGTCTCTCCGCAGCTCAGCCGCTCGACATCCCGCCCCGCCCGCCACACCGCCCGGAAGATGACGAAGTAGCAGCCGCCGATCAGACCGAGAGGGACAAAGAAGACGTAGTCGAACAGCAGGACGGTGTAGGTGTGCACGGCGGCGGTGAAGCTCATGTAGTCCCAACTGCAGGATGCCTGCAGGCCTTCGGTGACGTAGGCACTCCACCCGAAGAATGGGGGCAGACTCCAGCCCAGAAAATACAGCCAAGCCCCCCCCCCAGCACCGCCAGCAGCCGCACACGACTCGCCCCCAGCAGGGACAACAGCCATGTGATGGCCAGGCAGCGGCCCGCCACAATCGCTGTCAGCGTCATCATGGAGGTGATGCCGAACAATGCCCCGCAGAAAGCGTACAGCTCACAGGCGAGCTCCCCGAACACCCAGCGGCGGTGGAGGCTGGCCACGAAGAAGACCGGCGTCTGCGTCAGAGACATCAGGAAGTCTGCGACAGCCAGGTTGACCACGAGAAGGTTGTTGGGCGACCGCAGTGTCCGACAGCGACAGAACACGTAGACGACCAGAGCGTTTCCCAGCATGCCCGTCACCCCCACCGACAGGACGACGGAGCCGATGATGTAGTGGGCGTGGTCGGGAACGTCCACGGTAGGGAACAGGTGAGGCTGCAGGTGAGCGTGGGGCGTGGCCAGGCAGGGGGAGGAGCCTCGACGTCCTGAAGGAGGTGCAGTGTCCTCCCAGAGAGCAGAGAGTGGACCTCATGGTCGGGGGGGGGGGATGACTCATGGTCTCAGGTCTCACTGGTCTCTGTGGACCTTCTGGTCCTGCTGCAGCTCTTTATATGGGATCCATTGATGAGGGAAGATTATTGATCCGGCTCAGAGTGATCCATTAACTCTCTGCACTCACAACTCATCAAAATATGTGACCTGATTATTTAATGTCATGGTGAAGGTTAATGTGCTTTTAACTTGTTGTTTCCTAGAAACTAACTAAATGTCATCAGGTCGTCGATCAGTCGCTGCTCTAATGGAACATTGTGGAGGCTCAAATGTACAAACGTGGTTTTAATTTACAGACTGGAACTCAATTCATTAAATGCTAAATAAAGTTTCCAATAATAAATAATCAATACTGAGTATATTGATCTCTGATCAGCACCACAGACAGCGACAAGAACATCGCTGTAGAGCAAAGACTTGAAACTAGAGATTGAGGCCATAAACTTATGTTTACTGAGGTAATAAAGCAGTAAGAAGAGAGGTGGTGCAATCCTGACTATGTGTGTGTGAAGAAACGCTTGTGAAGAAAGCCCGGACATTGAACTGTTAGCCGTTGGGATGCGTCATTATTATTTGCCGAGGGAATTCTCATCCGCCATTGTTGTCGATGTGTATGTCCCTCCATCAGCTGACGCAGAGGCAGCAGTGGACACAATCCACTCCACTGTATCTGGACTACAGAGTCAACATCCTGGTGCATTTTTGGTGATTACTGGAGACTTTAACCACACCACTCTGGATAAAGCCCTGCCAACTTTTCACCAGTATGTTGACTGCCCCACAAGGAATAATACAACTCTGGACCTTCTGTTTGCTAATGCTAAGGATGCATACAGTGCCACTGCCTTCCCCCCCTTGGCAGGTCTGATCACAACCTGATCCTGTTGACGCCAAACTCCAGCAGAACAACGTGAAGGAGGTGTGGACCAGGATGAAGCGGATTACTGGCTTCAAGGTTGGAGGGCGACAACCAGGGGGCTCCCTGGAGAGGGCCAACGAGCTAAACTCTTTCCAACGAGCTAAACTCTTTCTTCAACAGGTTTAGTTCACAGCCCTCATCTGTCTCCTCCTCACACCTCACCTCACAAACACCTCGGCTGCCTCCCCCCCTCCCCCCTCTGGTGAGCTGCATGGACTCAGAGCCCTCCACATCAAAGGGCTCTTCCACCACCGAGACTATGACCACCACCCTCTCTGTGACGACTGGCCAGGTTAGGAGACAGCTGGAGAGACTCCACCAAGGCAAGGCTGCAGGACCTGATGGCATCAGACCTGCGCCATCCAGCTGTCTGATGTCCTGCAACACCTCTTCAACCTCAGCCTGAAGCAGGAGGAAGTCCTGGTGCTGTGGAAGACGTCGTGCCTGGTTCCTGTACCTAAGAAGACGACACCATCTGGCCTCAATGACTACCGACCACTTGCCCTCACATCTCATGTGATGAAGGTGCTGGAGAGGCTGGTCTTGGCCCACCTCCGACCGCAGGACAAATCCTCACTGGACCCTCTGCAATTTGCATACCAGCCCCCATGCACCAGGAGTCCATCAGCCTGAAGAACCTTCTGTCAACAAACAATTGATCAGCAGAAAGGTGACAGAAATGTCACCGTGATGACCATCCACCCAAAAACAGGATTCATCCATGTCTCTGATATCTGGATCAGAGTCTGTTTATGGTGAATTCAATTATTATTAATCATCATCATCAGACGAACTGCAGCTTTCTAAATATGATGCAGATTTAAAAAGTTCACTCCAGGAATCAGCTAGTGTAACAAAAGGTCTACTGCTGCATGAAGGTGAATTCAAGGGGTTAAGTTTTCAAATTAAAGGACCAATGAAGCATTTCTGGCTAAAAAAACACAGATTTAGATCATCAGTTCTCTCCATAAGGTTTCTCTCATTGTCAAGAGGATTCACTAATAAACTGATTTTACATTATAAATCTGGACCTTCATACTTTGTTCTTTAATAAACTATGTTAGCATTAGCCAGCATTGTCTCTTTTGAGATGTCCTCTATAAATCTGGACATGAAAGTGTTAACGTTGGTCATAAAGAAGGTGAAGGTGTAAAAGAAACCTCAACCAGAGTCCAGTTATAATCACAGCCAATCAGAAAGGGATCAACAAGCGATAACTACATGTTAGTTAACGATTAATCAAGGGACAATTAAGGGATAATGAAGGGTTAATTAAGGCTTAATTAGGGGATAGTTATGGGTTAATTAAGGGATAGTTATGGGGTAATTAAGGGATAGTTATGGGGTAATTAAGGCTTAATTAGGGGATAGTTATGGGTTAATTAAGGGATAGTTATGGGGTAATTAAGACTGAATTAAGGGATAGTTATGGGTTAATTAAGGGTTAATTAACGTTAAATGTGTCAGAGTGGAAACATTTTGATTTTATAAACAACAGAGTTTAGTTTTTATGTTCCGTTAGACGTTTTACTTTAATGTAAAAATCCAGCAGATAAAAAACATCAAATCAAAGTGTCCCATCAGCTGTGAGGTCACAGGCGTGGAGTCTCCTGACGTGTCTCAGCAGCAGCTGACGGTCCGGACTCGAGTATTCACACTGTTGGCATGGAAACGCCTCGCCGGTGTGATGACGCCGAGCGTGAAGATCCAAACTCTTCTTCTGGATACTGGGACCAATCAGAGCAGAGTACGGATATTATGAACCAATCACAGCAGAGTACGGATATTATGAACCAATCACAGCAGAGTACGGATATTGTGAACCAATCACAGCAGAGTACGGATATTGTGAACCAATCACAGCAGAGTACGGATATTATGAACCAATGACAGCAGAGACACATGATGAACCAATCACAGGTGGGGTTACCTGCTGTAGTCACAGTGTTGACACCTGTACGGTTTCTCCCGACTGTGAGTTCTACTGTGTCTGAGCAGAGAGCTGCGATCTATTGAAGCATACGGACACTCTGTACACCTGTACGGCTTCTCACCTGGAGAAAGAAAGAAACACACACACTACAGTCAGCTGACAGCTCGCTAAAGGTGTTTGTTACCTGTGTGTGTCCTCAGGTGTGTGTGTGTTACCTGTGTGTCCCCTCAGGTGTGTGTGTTACTTGTGTGTGTGTGTTTGTGTGTTACCTGTGTGTGTCCTCAGGTGTGTGTGTGTTACCTGTGTGAGTCCTCAGGTGTGTGCGTGTGTTACCTGTGTGAGTCCTCAGGTGTGTGCGTGTGTTACCTGTGTGAGTCCTCAGGTGTGTGTGTTACTTGTGTGTGTGTGTTTGTGTGTTACCTGCGTGAGTCCTCAGGTGTGTGTGTTACCTGTGTGTGTGTGTGTGTGTGTGTGTGTGTTACCTGCGTGAGTCCTCAGGTGTGTGTGTGTTACTTGTGTGTGTGTTTGTGTGTTACCTGTGTGAGTCCTCAGGTGTGTGTGTTACCTGTGTGCGTGTCCTTGTGCGTTACCTGTGTGAGTCCTCAGGTGTGTGTGTGTGTTACCTGTGTGTGTCCTGAGGTGTGTGTGCTACCTGTGTGTGTTTGTGTGTTACCTGTGTGAGTCCTCAGGTGTGTGTGTGTGTTACCTGTGTGTGTCCTGAGGTGTGTGTGCTACCTGTGTGTGTTTGTGTGTTACCTGTGTGAGTCCTCAGGTGTGTGTGTGTGTTACCTGTGTGAGTCCTCAGGTGTGTGTGTTACCTGTGTGTGTGTGTGTTTGTGTGTTACCTGTGTGCGTCCTCAGGTGTGTGTGTTACCTGTGTGTGTGTGCTTGTGTGTTACCGGTGTGAGTCATCAGGTGTGTGTGTGTTACCTGTCTGTGTGTGCTTGTGTGTTACCTGTGTGCGTCCTCAGGTGTGTGTATTACATCTGTGTGTGCGTGTGTGTGTGTTACCTGTGTGCGTCCTCAGGTGTTGCAGCAGTGAGGCCTTCAGTCTGCTGCTGTAGGAACAGGTAGGACAGGTGAAGGGTTTGTCGTCTCCATGAGTTCCCAGGTGACGCCTCAGAGTCAACTTGGTGGAGAACTTCCTGTCGATAAAAAACATCACAGCTAAAGCACCCAATCATCACCCTGCAACATGTAACGCACCTGGTTCAACTGACGTTGAAGTGTCAGTGGGTTACCTGTCCTCTTCTATGATTGGTCAGTTTATGAGTGGTGGATTGTGGGTAATGTAGTTACCTGTGGCACAGAGAGCAACAGAAGCCCGTCTGGTTGCTCTGCTTCTCTTCTCCTTTCTTACTTCTGCTTTTCTTCTTCTTCTTCTCTGTGATACTCAGCGGTGAATCCGTGAGGTGTCTGCTGGTCTGACTGGGAACCAACACACACACATACTGGTTTGCCATTGGCTGGAGGTCATGTGACCTTCTGACTGTCAGATGAAGATAGTTTCAGTCGTCTACCTGTCTGGACGATCTGCCTCCGTCCCTCCTGTTCGTCCAATCAAGCGGCTCCTCCATCCGTCTGGAGGAAAACAAATCAAATGTTATTGATCACTGCTTTGATTATCAGTAACCAGTCGGTAACCAGTCATTAACCAGTCGGTCAAGTTGAAGGCATTCAGACCTGAGTGGCCTCCGTGTGTTTGTTGGTGAGCTCTTCGTGAGGCTGAGCTCCTGAACCTCCTCAGACAGACCGGACAGATGAACTGAAGAGACGCTGACGCCTTCTTCTTCTTCTTCTTCTTCTCCTGTTTCTGTCCCTCCCTCCTCCTCCTCCTCCTCCTCCAGTGAGGCTCCAGGGGGGGTCTGGAGGAGGTGGGAGGAGGAGGAGGAAGAGGAAGAGGAGGAGGAAGATTAGGAGGAGGAGGTTTGGCAGCTGAGATGCGACACAGCCCCAAAGTCATGAGGTGAGCGGACTGTGCCATCTCCTCCTGGGTGGCGGGGGGGTCGACAGGAGGAGACAGATCCACTGAAGCCCCCTTTAGAGGGAACATGGAGGACTCCTCGAAAAGAGTGCTGACCTGCAGACAGAAAAATGTATAACTTCTCATGTCTAAATGTTAACATATAACACATTCTCATGTCTAAATCTTAACATATAACATGTTCTCATGTCTAAATCTTAACATATAACACGTTCTCATGTCTAAATCTTAACATATAACACGTTCTCATGTCTAAATCTTAACATATAACATGTTCTCATGTCTAAATCTTAACATATAACATGTTCTCATGTCTAAATCTTAACATATAACACGTTCTCATGTCTAAATGTTAACACGTTCTCATGTCTAAATCTTAACATATAACACGTTCTCATGTCTAAATCTTAACATATAACATGTTCTCTTGTCTAAATGAGTCTGTACTAAGTCCTTGTGTTCATGTGTGTGTGCATTTCAGGTGTGTCACCTCACACGTGTGTGCAACCTGAAGCCCCCCCTCGCTGCTGATGTCACAGGTGGGCGGGCTCATGTTGTCCAGCATGTTGTAGAGCAGGAAGTCTTCGTCCTCGTCGCACTGCTTCGACTCTCCGTTCAAAACAAACTGATAGGGCGACGCCCCCTGCCGGAGCCCCGCCTCCTCTCTGTCCACAGCCCCGCCCCCTCTGTTGCCCTCCCCCAGGTACGTGAGCGTGGGGGGACGGTGCCTGACCTGCAGGTGGCTGCCGATGGAGGCCTTCAGGCCGCAGGTGAACTGACAGAGTTTACAGCGATAAAGCTCCACCATAAAGGACTCCACCAGCCCCCCCGACAGACCCTCCACCTCCCCACAGTACAGACTGGAGCACACAGCCCCGCCCACCAGTTGCAGAGTCACAGGACTGATGTCCCGGTACCGCTGCTTCACAGACGACATCACCACGACATCACTGAAAGCAGAAGACATCGTGACAGATACCAGTTTATATAAAGTTTGATTGTAACCAGTGTGATCAGAATAAGCTGCACTTTTAACCTTAAAAACTTGAACTTGAACTTTAACCACACCTTGTAAACGAGTTTGAATGTTTGACCTGATTGACACGGAACTCTCTGGAAGCCCTCTAAGTCCCTCGACCCAAATCCAACCTCCCTTTTCACAACGACCTGTGGCTCTATATCCGACACATGAACATTTCAAATCTCTCACTTTAAACAAAACGTTAGAGGCACAGCTTTAATAAGACACGGACCGTGTTTAACGCAAACACAGTTTTTGATCTTTGTTCTTTTTGATACTTTCTCAACTTAATGTGGTGTTCGTCTCTTCATCTGCTCTCACTTTCCTGTTGTTTTTCCTCACTTCAATACTCAGTACCTGAGTAACCTGAGTAACTGAGTAACAGAATAACAGAGTAACCTGAGTACCTGAGTACCCTGAGTAACCGAGTACCTGAGTAACCGAGTACCTGAGTAACCGGAGTAACCTGAGTACCAAAGTAGCTGAGTAACAGAGTAACAGAGTAACTGAGTAACTGAGTAGCTGAGTACCAAATTAACTGAGTAACTGAGTGGCTGAGTAACAGAGTAACTGAGTACCAAAGTAACTGAGTAACCTGAGTAGCTGAGTAACTGAGTACCTGAGTAACCCGAGTAACCCGAGTACCTGAGTAACCCGAGTAACCCGAGTAACCCGAGTACCTGAGTAACCCGAGTAACAGAGTAACCTGAGTAACCTGAGTAACAGAGTAACTGAGTACCAAAGTAGCTGAGTAACTGAGTAGCTGAGTAACTGAGTAGCTGAGTAACTGAGTACCAAAGTAGCTCAGTAACTGAGTAGCTGAGTAACTGAGTAACAGAGTAACTGAGTAATTGAGTAGCTGAGTAACTAAGTACCAAAGTAACTGATTAGCTGAGTAACTGAGTACCAAAGTAGCTGAGTAACTGAGTACCTGAGTAACTGAGTACCAAAGTAGCTGAGTAACTGAGTAACTGAGTAGCTGAGTAACTGAGTACCTGAGTAGCTGAGTAACAGAGTAACTGCGTTACATAGTAACTGCGTTACATAGTAACTGAGCCGTAAGCTTCTCTTCCTGGTTGAACTTCTGTTTCTTTGAGGATTTTTTAATTAAATTTTTATTTTTTAAATTGATGATGATTTAAATTTAAATTAAATTTTAAAGATTTTAAAGTGTTAGATAGATGGTTTATTAATTGAATCTTATAGAACAATATTTCCTTTCTTTAAATTGATTTAATCAATGTGCAAACTCAAAAACAAATAAACAAAACAAACCCAATAAACCCAGAAAAACAACAACACGTCATGAAGGTAGCATCACAGAAAGCTAACGAGGCTAAGATGATGCTAACATGATGCTGAGATGATGCTAATTCAATGCTAACACGGTGCTAGCAGCGAACTAACCGGAGCTTTTCAGCCGAAGCTAACAGTGTTAGCAGAAGCTAACCATCCGGGTCTTCAGCTTCATCTCTGCGTCATGTTGTCACCGCGCGAGGCCGCGTGAGGTTCAGGTGATTACAGGTGAACTGTAACTCTCACCTGCTGCTCGTGCTGCTTTAAACACACCGTGATGTTTACTTCCGCTTTTCCTCCGAGCCGGACTCAACGTCACATCCGGTCACTTCAGTCTCTGGAAACCGGGTATCCGGGTACTTCCCAAGTCCAATCAATAAGAAACAACAGAAATACATTCAAACTAACAAAACAGGGAAATATAAACAAATATGAATAAAAATAGAGAAACGTAAATAAATAATATAAATAAAAAGAGAATATCTAAATACGAACATGTATCACAGACTTTAAACTGTTTAAACTCTAAAATAGATCTTTGGTTTGTAAACTTTATTGATAGATTTATATTTCAATAGATTTATGAAATACGTCCTTTTGGTAAAGAATCCAAATATAACATGTTCATAAAATAATAATAAATCTTTGAAAACACATTTTGAAACATTTCCCAGAAGTCTTTAGTTTAATAATCACAATAATCCTAAAAATAATAATAATATAACAATAATTAGCAATTACCGGGGTACCACACTACTCAGCCTCCCGGGGAAGGCTTATGCCAGGGTGCTGGAAAGGAGGCTCCGACCGTTTATTGAACCTCAGATTCAAGAGGAGCAGTGCGGATTCCGTCATGACCGTGGAACAGTGGACCAGCTCTTTACCCTCGCAAAACTACTGGAGGGGTTCTGGGAGTTTGCCCAACCAGTCTACATGTGCTTAGTGGACTTGGAGAAGGCTTTTGACCGGGTCCCTCGGAGGTTCTTGTGGGGGGTGCTGCGGGAGTACGGGGTGCCGGACCCGTTACAGCAGGCGATCCGCTCTCTGTACGACTGCAGTAGGAGCTGTGTCCGTATTCTCTGCAATAAGTCAGACACGTTCCCGGTGGGTGTTGGCCTCTGCCAGGGCTGCCCTTTGTCACCGGTCCTGTTCGTGACTTTCATGGACAGGATATCTAGGCGCAGCCTGGGGGTGGAGAACATCAGGTTCGGGGGTCTCGGGATCGCCTCTCTGCTGTTTGCAGATGACATGGTCCTGTTAGCCTCCTCGGATCATGACCTCCAGCATTCACTGGGGCGGTTTGCAGCCGAGTGTGAAGCGGCGGGGATGAGAGTTAGCACCTCCAAATCTGAGGCCATGGTGCTCCCTCCAGGTGGGGACGGAGTGCTGACCGCAAGCGAAGGAGTTCAAGTATCTCGGGGTCTTGTTCACGAGTGAGGGTAAGATGGAGCGGGAGATCGACAGGCGGATCGGTGCGGCTGCAGCAGTAAAGCAGGCGCTGCACCGGACCGTCTTGGTGAAGAGGTCGGTGATTTACCGGTCGGTCTACGTTCCGACCCTCACCTATGGCCACGAACTCTGGGTCGTGACCGAAAGGACAAGGTCGCGGCTACAAGCGGCCGAAATGAGCTTCCTCCGTAGGGTGGCTGGGCTCAGCCTTAGAGATAGGGTAATGAGCTCGGTCATCAGGAGGGAGCTTGGAGTCGAGCCGTTACTCCTTCGCGTCGAAAGGAGTCAGCTGAGGTGGTTCGGGCATCTAATTAGGATGCCTCCTGGACGCCTCCCACTGGAGGTTTTCCAGGCACGTCCAATTGGGAAGACACCCCGGGGAAGACCCAGAACACGCTGGAGGGATTACATCTCCCAGCTGGCCTGGGAACGCCTCGGGATCCCCCAGAATGAGCTGGAACATGTTGCAGGGGAGAGGGAGGTCTGGGTCAGCCTGCTTGGCCTGCTGCCACCGCGACCCGACCCGAAGAGGAGGAAGATGGATGGATAACAATAATAAAAATAAAAATAATAATAATATAATAATAATAATAATAATAATATAACAATAATAATAATAATAATATAATAATAATAATAAAACACTCAGTGAGGAACCTTAGAGACTTTAGGTCACTCAGTGAGGAACCTTAGAGACTTTATGTCACTCAGTGAGGAACCTTAGAGACTTCAGGTCACTCAGTGAGGAACCTTAGAGACTTTAGGTCACTCAGTGAGGAACCTTAGAGACTTCAGTTCACTCAGTGAGGAACCTTAGAGACTTCAGGTCACTCARTGAGGAACCTTAGAGACTTTAGGTCACTCAGTGAGGAACATTAGAGACTTCAGGTCACTCAGTGAGGAAGCTTAGAGACTTCAGGTCACTCAGTGAGGAACCTTTTTAGTATTCTACATGTGAGGATCTTTATCAATAACTAACCGCCTGTTTATGATATTTAATAACGTTCTTACTTTGTTCTTTAATAAACTACATTAGCATTAGCTCTTTGTTTAGCATTGTTTAGCACCCTAACCCTCTGCTGAGACGTCCTCCATTAATCTGGACATCAAACTGTTAAAGCAGTTTTTTTATTGTTGACAAGACAGGAAGCTGTGTGTGTGTGTGTGTGTGTGTGTGTGTGTGTGTGTGGTTATAGCTTGTCATGCAACACTGTGCAGTGTGAAGCTGCTGTCACGGTATGTGGCTGATTCCTGTTTCGATGTCGTCACACACACACACACACACACACACACACACTCTCACTCTCACACACACAGTGAAGGTGTGTGATGGTAAAACAACATAGATCTATATATAATAGATTCAAATTTAAGTAGTTTTATAGTTTACAGCTAGTTTAAATGTGAAGCTTCTCTTTAGGTTCAGTAGGTGTCAGACAGCTGTGTATGTGTGTGTGTGTATGTAAGTGAGAGTGTTTATGTGTAGGAGTGTGTGTTTTTCTGTCTCACTAACAGGGAGCAAACAAAAACAGAACAGAGAACATGTTCAGTGTGTTTGACAACAGACATCTAATAACTACACTACTACTGATAGTACTACTAGTTTATACATTTAATTTATCGTTTCTTCATATCCTGCAGTATTAAAATGATTATAATCTGTCCATGAATGTTCACATTAATATGTCCCAACCTGCTAAATATCTGAAGAACTTTATCAAATGTCATTAATTTGCAGCTGAACCTTAAAGAATCTGTATTTAACATCCAGATCAATAACAATAATCATAAAAAAATAATATCTGATCAATAACTCTCATCTACATAAATATCTAAAGTAGTTATATCAACCTGATGAGAGAATGAATATTAAAGTTTCTCCTCTTTGTCTTTTAGTCACGTTAGTGCATGTTAGTGCCTGTTAGTCCACGTTAGTCCACGTTAGTGCACGTGAGCGTGCCCCACTGGTCTGCTCTACAGCTCAGGTAAACAACATTAGCTGCTAGCCACCGTCAACATGTTGAGAGCCTTATAGAGGCCATTGAAATGCTCCCTTTTTAGTCTTTCAAATTAAAAGACAAATTAAGGTTTAATTAAGGATGAATAAAGGGTAAATTAAGGTTTAATTAAGGATGAATAAAGGGTAAATGAAGGATGAATTAAGGGTTAGTTAAGGGTAAATTAAGAGTAAATTAAGGGTAAATGCATCAGTTAGCTCCTCCCTCTGGAGGAACTTCTGCTTTGACTCGTCTCTCTGAACGTCACTTTGTGGTTTAACGGACAGAAAGTGAAAAACACTTCACTGTGAGACGAAGACACATCAGCTGTGAGTCCACACGTCTGTTTTATGTACTTGTTAGTGTTTGTATTATGTACATACGTACTTATTAGTGTTTGTTTTGTGTACATATGTACTTATTACTGTTTGTTTTATGTACATACGTACTTATTAGTGTTTGTTTTGTGTACATATGTACTTATTACTGTTTGTTTTATGTACATATGTACTCATTACTGTTTGTTTTATGTACATATGTACTTATTACTGTTTGTATTATGTACATATGTACTTACTAGTGTTTGTTTTATGTACATATGTACTTATTACT